GAGAGGTGAGCAGAGAGAGACGTGAGCAGAGAGAGAGAGACGCGAGCAGAGAGAGAGAGCAGAGAGAGAGAGACGCGAGCAGAGAGAGAGAGAGAGAGGTGAGCAGAGAGAGAGAGACGCGAGCAGAGAGAGAGAGCAGAGAGAGAGAGACGCGAGCAGAGAGAGAGAGAGACGTGAGCAGAGAGAGAGAGACGCGAGCAGAGAGAGAGAGAGAGAGGTGAGCAGAGAGAGACGTGAGCAGAGAGAGAGACGCGAGCAGAGAGAGAGAGCAGAGAGAGAGAGAGAGAGAGCAGCAGAGAGAGAGAGAGAGACGTGAGCAGAGAGAGAGAGACGCGAGCAGAGAGAGAGAGAGAGAGAGAGGTGAGCAGACCGTCTTTTTGTGTCATTTGTGGAAAAGTGCACTCAAAAGTCCACAGCGGCTAAACTAAGCTGGTCCAGAAAGAAAATAAACAAAACACTATAGCGTCTTATGTATTTTAAGTGTGTTTTAATAAATGATTTCTAAATCCGTGAAATGTGCCGTGTTGAAAGACAAATCTCTGCTCTATTTGAACAGACACTAAAGTTTTATTCTATTTTATTCTATTCTAACTTCCCTCAGCATTGACAGGCATCTGGAACGTAGTGCCGAGCCAAGAGCCAAAATAATTCTGTTTCTGGGTCCACTACCACCGGCAATATGGCATCAGACCTTTGGCCGCGTGTCTCAGACACACTGCAGCTGTTTTACAGGCTCTTTCAGTAGTAGTAGTTAACAAAGGTACTGCTATCACACAGCAGCAGTGTGGTTCCACAGGAGTCAATATGACTGCTATCACACAGTAGCAGTGTGGTTCCACAGGAGTCAATATGACTGCTATCACACAGTAGCAGTGTGGTTCCACAGGAGTCAATATGACTGCTATCACACAGTAGCAGTGTGGTTCCACAGGAGTCAATATGACTGCTATCACACAGTAGCAGTGTGGTTCCACAGGAGTCAATATGACTGCTATCACACAGCAGCAGTGTGGTTCCACAGGAGTCAATATGACTGCTATCACACAGCAGCAGTGTGGTTCCACAGGAGTCAATATGACTGCTATCACACAGCAGCTGTGTGGTTCCACAGGAGTCAATATGACTGCTATCACACAGCAGCAGTGTGGTTCCACAGGAGTCAATATGACTGCTATCACACAGCAGCAGTGTAGTTCCACAGGAGTCAATATGACTGCTATCACACAGCAGCAGTGTGGTTCCACAGGAGTCAATATGACTGCTATCACACAGTAGCAGTGTGGTTCCACAGGAGTCAATATGACTGCTATCACACAGTAGCAGTGTGGTTCCACAGGAGTCAATATGACTGCTATCACACAGTAGCAGTGTGGTTCCACAGGAGTCAATATGACTGCTATCACACAGTAGCAGTGTGGTTCCACAGGAGTCAATATGACTGCTATCACACAGCAGCAGTGTGGTTCCACAGGAGTCAATATGACTGCTATCACACAGCAGCAGTGTGGTTCCACAGGAGTCAATATGACTGCTATCACACAGTAGCAGTGTGGTTCCACAGGAGTCAATATGACTGCTATCACACAGCAGCTGTGTGGTTCCACAGGAGTCAATATGACTGCTATCACACAGCAGCAGTGTAGTTCCACAGGAGTCAATATGACTGCTATCACACAGCAGCTGTGTAGTTCCACAGGAGTCAATATGACTGCTATCACACAGCAGCAGTGTGGTTCCACAGGAGTCAATATGACTGCTATCACACAGCAGCTGTGTAGTTCCACAGGAGTCAATATGACTGCTATCACACAGCAGCAGTGTAGTTCCACAGGAGTCAATATGACTGCTATCACACAGCAGCAGTGTGGTTCCACAGGAGTCAATATGACTGCTATCACACAGCAGCAGTGTGGTTCCACAGGAGTCAATATGACTGCTATCACACAGCAGCTGTGTAGTTCCACAGGAGTCAATATGACTGCTATCACACAGCAGCAGTGTAGTTCCACAGGAGTCAATATGACTGCTATCACACAGCAGCAGTGTGGTTCCACAGGAGTCAATATGACTGCTATCACACAGTAGCAGTGTGGTTCCACAGGAGTCAATATGACTGCTATCACACAGTAGCAGTGTGGTTCCACAGGAGTCAATATGACTGCTATCACACAGCAGCAGTGTGGTTCCACAGGAGTCAATATGACTGCTATCACACAGCAGCTGTGTAGTTTCACAGGAGTCAATATGACTGCTATCACACAGTAGCAGTGTGGTTCCACAGGAGTCAATATGACTGCTATCACACAGCAGCAGTGTGGTTCCACAGGAGTCAATATGACTGCTATCACACAGTAGCAGTGTGGTTCCACAGGAGTCAATATGACTGCTATCACACAGTAGCAGTGTGGTTCCACAGGAGTCAATATGACTGCTTAAACCAAACTTTACACAAAACTTTGACTCTTAAAACCCACACATAACAACATGGAACCATCAACATCTCGCCTCAAATTGCATTAAAAGTGACATTTGTGTCTTTGTTCGTTCGTATTTAAACTTTTTACACAACTCACGGACTGTATGTCCGCCATCTTGGATTGCTTCGGCTGCATTACATTATAAACAGCCGAGGGACTGGCCCGAGGGCATAGCCCGGTACACTCGATGGCCAGTCCAGCCCTGCAGGCTGCATGTGGTATTGAAGCATTTTCAGCATCTACAGCTAGTTATGTTAGCTAAGAAACATAGCTACTACTTATTTGTATATAGTGTATATATTGTGTGTGATCCCTGTGTGCTCTTACTACTGTCCTGTCTGTGCGCTGCAACATTGAAATTTCCCCACTGTGGGAGGAATAAAGGAACTCTTATCTTATCTTCAGAATGAAAATGATCTCTTCGACAGTTCTATCATCTAGCCCAGCCTTGCTGACTGTTGGAGTGTTATTTGAATTTTAAGATATGCACACTCCATGCACAAGAAAATGTGTTCCTTACTTTGGACAAAATCCAAAGTAAATCATATAAAACTGGGAGTGAAGTGCAGGCAGTAATTCCCTTTGACAGACGTGTTCAGAATTTGATACAGAAATAAGGCCAAGAATGCAAGAGTTAAAAATAGAACATTTAATTCCCTTTACAATTAAATATCGATACAAAACCCTTGGAGCCATCAATTCTCTAAAACTAACCCTATGCTAAAACTCTCCCTCCAGGCCTGAAAATGTGCAGAGAACATGCAGGCGCTCTGCCATGTTCTCTGTCTCTATCCCTGCTCTCTCTCCTCAGACTGTCCTACCCCCGGTTTTATCAACATGTCCGATGACGTCACATGGTCTGAAACTGGTCTCTGGTCTGGTCTCCGGTCTGGACCCTGGTCCAGGTCTTGGTCCTCCATATCAGCCTGAGCAAACAATGGCCCCCATCACTGGGCGCCTGATTGTGTTGGACTTTTACCCTCCTCGAGAGTGGGAGAAAACATTTGTTTATTCTTGGAGTCAATAATTGTCTGGTTTGTAAGCTGGTCATCCTTATGATTCCTGAGTGCATATTCTTTTGTCTGATGTGCAGCATTTTGTGAATATTCGTCAGAAGACGAGAACAAAAAGAGCCATGGCATGACATTGATGGAACAGAGGGTAAAGAACTACTGAAGTTAACCCCAGGGAGACACAGGGGACGAGGCAGGCCAGGAAATCACACAACCGGAGGTAGAACAACACTGTTGAAAAATAAATGGTCCAACTCAGAAAGGGTTTAATGCTACCTTTGGGAAAAATCATCCAGTGATTTTGAAATGTTTTGTACCACATATTTGCGGATGACATTCAGCTTTACTGCACTTTTAAGCCTAAAAGGATCCATTTCAAACGTTCAGAGTTTGGACAAGCGAATGGTCAGGCTCCTTCCTACGTCAGTGATCTGCTGTGGCCTCACACGGTCAGGCTCTGAAGTCTGGATACGAATCTGCTGATGGTTTCATGCACTTGCTTTCAGACCAGAGACCGATTCTTGCCGGCTGTAGCTCCAAAGCTCTGGAACAATCTAAACCCTCTGTGTTCAATAGTATCTGTGGACTCCTTCTAAAGTCAGCTCATACCTAATTATTTGTACAGGCATTTACTTAAAGTGTTCTTGAGGCTAAAATGTGCTTTGTAGGCTCTGTATAAATAAAACTTACCTCCCAAACAAACTTTCATTGAAATTAAAGAAAATCATATTTATGTTGTTCACCAAACAAAAATGCACTAGAAATATTGAATTAATTTTTCATTTAAAATATAAAGAGACTAAGCATTTCATTTTATTGGAGTTATTATTGATGGAAGCTGTGGAAATGGAAGCAATAATGTATTTAACAAAGAAATAATTAATAAAATAATTCTGTTTTGGGAAAAGTACATTATAATTCAACAATTAGGTTATTTTTTTATTTTATTTTTTATTTTTTACAAATATTGCTTTACAAACAACTAACTGTTTTTGAATTCTGGATTAAAGCTGGAACATTGAATTGTGTTACAGATATGATTGATTCTCGCTTGTTGTTTTGTGGTGAGAATGGGATTTTCTTCATCCTGCTTCTGTTCTTTATGTGAATGTATTTATTACAACAAAAATATCAAATGAATAGAATGCATATACAATACAATACAATTTATTCTTGTATAGCCCCAGGTCACAACAGTTCACCTTGGAGAGACCCACAAGGGGGAATGCAGTTAGAAGTTTTATTTGATTAAGCATGTTTGGCGCCCTAGGCCCGGGAGCGATGCTGTTGAGCGCGGCGCTTGCTCGCGTGCATAATCCCCCAAAGATGCTGGCCTGCGATGGGATAGCAGGACGCACTGCGCAGGCCTGAGAGCATGAGTGCGAGGCTTCTCGCACGGTCGCTCAGCCAGGCTGAGTCTGCTGGGGGCCCGCATCTGTTTGGGCCTGAGCGCGCTGAGAGCATGAGCGCGGGGCAGCAGGGTTGCGTCAAGTTCTCCAGGCGCTGCAAGCTAGGAGCAGGTGTTATCCCTAGCGACTGAGAACATGAGCGCGGGGCTGCTCAACACCCACTCTGGGGATTGAGTGCGAGTCCAGCTTGGTGCATCATGTTCAGCCAGACGCTGCAGCAGCGGGAGAGCGTTTGAGGAGAGTGCGTGCCGCCACCAGGATCTTACTGTTTTGCTTGCTTTTGCTTTGCTTTGCATTGCTTTGCTGGGAGCTTACGAGGAAGCCAGTAGTCGTTGTGCTGCCATGATGACGGTTGCATCTGGCCTGATGTAGGCGGAGAAGGCCGAAGAGGAACAGCGCCCCAGCTGTTGCAGAGAAGTGTGGGGGAGCCCCAGCGAGGTCGTGCGCGTGGCAGCGCCTATCCTGAAGGAGTGGGCTGTGTAGAGCTGGGGAGACAATTGCAGAGGAGCAGTAGGGATCTTAGTCGAGCTCTGAACCAGGTTGCTGTCATGGGAAGGTTGTCTGGAGCGGGAATTAGAGGTCCGTTAAAATCTTTTTTGCGGCGGAGGCGAGTGTAACGCATCATGGACCTGTAGGGGCAGAGAGATGTGTCCGAGCGAGCTATTACTATATTGCAGGCTCCTTTGATCTTTGAATGTTTGAGACGGAGGTTGAAATGGTCAGGGGACATTATGTTGGGTGAAAGAGAGCGACCTTTGTTTAATGCTTCCACTACGTCAAGATTATCACACGTGACAGAGATCCTCTTTCTCTGCCACGTGTGATTCCACAGCGCGCAGGCCACGACCACTGGGAATATCTCGTGTAGGGCAGAAGAGATGCTCCGGGGAAAAGTAGCGGGCCACGGCCCGGCGAACCACTGGTCCTGGAAGAACCCCCAAAACCCACGGAAGGGGCAGCGTCCGTGTAGAAGCGGAGACCTGTAGGGGCAGAGAGACATATCGGAGAGGGCCATTGATGTTGCAGGCGCCCTTACGCTTAGAATCTTGGGTTGGAGATTAGATAATCAGGATAGTAGGTTGAGTGAGCAGTAGTGAACTCGCGAGCAGGAAGATGCTGCGAGGAGGGCAGACATGTACTTGGAAGATGAGCCGGAGTTCAGCGCCGCTGCAGGATGGGCAGCATGATGGGGAGCCTGCGATCAGAAGAGTGAAGAATACAGGTATGGATGCCTTTGATTAGGAGTTTGATTGACAGCTCAGCGCAGCTACTCGGCCAGCTGCATCTGATAGAAGCAGAAGATTAAGCAGAGAGATGAAGCATGACCGCCGAAGCGACCCTGGGAGCATAGGTGAGAGTCCAGCGCAGCGCGGCATACTCAGCCGGGCTGCATCCATTAGAAGCAAATAAGGAGCAGAACAGCTGATGCGAACTGAGAGCATGGTGCGAGGCAGCACCATGCTCCAGCAGGAGAGATTGACTGTTATGAGATCTCCAGACCCCCAAAACAGCGGTGCACGAGGGGGGCCCGGCCTGGACGTGGCCCGAGAGAGTCCAGCAAGGCGAAGCGCGAGCCACCCTGGCGGCGAGAGCAGCGCCGGGATCCCGAGAAGCAGTGTGCGGAGAACGCCGGGAAGCAGCCGCCAACGGCCGTACGGCAGGTGCCCACGAAGCGTACGCGAGCCACCAGCAGAGGCACCGGCAGAGGCACCGGCGCCAGCAGAGGCACCAGCGCCGGCAGAGGCAGAGGCGCCGGCAAAGGCACTAGCACAGGCACCAGCACAGGCACCAGCACAGGCAGAGCCTGCAGACCAGTGCGCGGGGCCCAGATGGAGCCTGCAGACCAGTGCGGGGGGCCCGGACGGAGCCTGCAGACCAGTGCGCGGGGCAAAACAGAGGGCCTGCAGACCTACAGGGCTGGAAGCGGAAGTGCGAGAAGTTGCGGGAGTCCCACCCGTGCATACAAACGAAACACGCGTGCCGGTTGCATCCTGCCGAGATTGCCGGCGTCGTCCTCCATGGATTTCTCTCAATGCTGCTTCGGACACATTTCGCCTCTGGAACAAAACTGAGTGTGCGTTCGGAATTAGCTGTGGAACTCCGGCAAAGCCCCGAAGTTTCCGTAAGGCGGGGAGACGAGAAAGGAGCAGGGCCGTGGTCAACATGTCGCCCTTCCAATCCATCATTAACTCACTGACTGCCAGGCATTTTCAGATTTGAGAAGTGCATTCTGCCAGCAATTTCAGGTGATTTGACCCAACTTTGAAGTGCCACAGAATATTCATTTTTTAGACGATGTAAACACCAAGGGCACCAAATTAAAGATTCACCTCTCTGCTTTACTCTGAAAAAAACAGTTTGTTTCTACCTCTTACCGTTCTTGCGTTATTCGCCATAGAACAAAGCATACTTTCACCCATAACACCTGGTCTGAGCAAGAAAACAGAGAAAAGGAGCTGTATGTAAACAGGAACATATCAAGCAGAAAAGAGACTTTTAGATGCATTTTTGCTGCTTTAGTGACAACTCAAAACATCTCCACACTTGTTCCATTACAAAAATTATAAAAACATGACTCTGAAATAATACTTTTGATGGCAAATTGTTGGCAATTTATTCACAGATAGAAAATTTAACTTTCTTCTATACCATCAACCAAAACGTCAAACAACAACAACACAAAGATCAATAAAACTATAGATGTATAAAATAGAATGAAGCATGTGAATTTGAGTGTGTGTGTGTGTGTGTGCGAGTGAGTGTCTGTGTGCGTGAGTGTCTGTGTGTGTGAATGTCAGTGTGTGTGAGTGTCAGTGTGTGTGAGTGTCAGTGTGTGTGAGTGTCAGTGTGTGTGAGTGTCAGTGTGTGTGAATGTCAGTGTGCGAGTGAGTGTCTGTGTGCGTGAGTGTCAGTGTGTGTGAGTGTCTGTGTGAGTGAGTGTCTGTGTGCGTGAGTGTCAGTGTGTGTGAGTGTCTGTGTGAGTGAGTGTCTGTGTGAGTGAGTGTCTGTGTGTGTGAGTGTCAGTGTGTGTGAGTGTCTGTGTGAGTGAGTGTCTGTGTGTGTGAATGTCAGTGTGTGAGTGAGTGTCAGTGTGCGTGTGAGTGTCAGTGTGCGAGTGAGTGTCTGTGTGTGTGAGTGTCAGTGTGTGTGAATGTCAGTGTGTGTGAATGTCAGTGTGTGTGAGTGTCAGTGTGTGTGAGTGTCAGTGTGTGTGAATGTCAGTGTGTGTGAGTGTCTGTGTGAGTGAGTGTCAGTGTGTGTGAGTGTCTGTGTGAGTGAGTGTCTGTGTGCGAGTGAGTGTCAGTGTGTGTGAGTGTCTGTGTGAGTGAGTGTCTGTGTGTGAGTGAGTGTCTGTGTGCGTGAGTGTCAGTGTGTGTGAGTGTCAGTGTGTGTGAGTGTCTGTGTGAGTGAATGTCAGTGTGCGAGTGAGTGTCTGTGTGAGTGAGTGTCAGTGTGTGTGAGTGTCTGTGTGAGTGAGTGTCTGTGTGCGAGTGAGTGTCTGTGTGCGTGAGTGTCAGTGTGTGTGAGTGTCTGTGTGAGTGAGTGTCTGTGTGCGTGAGTGTCAGTGTGTGTGAGTGTCTGTGTGAGTGAGTGTCTGTGTGTGTGAGTGTCAGTGTGTGTGAATGTCAGTGTGTGAGTGAGTGTCAGTGTGCGAGTGAGTGTCTGTGTGTGTGAGTGTCAGTGTGTGTGAATGTCAGTGTGTGAGTGAGTGTCTGTGTGTGTGAGTGTCAGTGTGTGTGAATGTCAGTGTGTGAGTGAGTGTCAGTGTGCGAGTGAGTGTCTGTGTGTGTGAGTGTCAGTGTGTGTGAATGTCAGTGCGTGTGAATGTCAGTGTGTGTGAGTGTCAGTGTGTGTGAGTGTCAGTGTGCGAGTGAGTGTCTGTGTGCGTGAGTGAGTGAGTGAGTGCGTGTGAGTGTTTGTGAGTGTGTCCGATAAATCATGATCAGGTTTGCTGAACGAATCTGAGGCATCAGTAACAGCAGCAGCTGATACGCTGAGAGAGGCGGAGGGCGTGTCTCTGCTCGGGGCTCTTGCTCCGCGCAAATGTGGCTGCAGAGACGGACCTCCACCGGGGTCTCCGCTCTCTCCCCTCTCGACCTCACTCACTGATCCGCGAGTCAATCCCTGAAGCAGTGTATACTGCTTATAACTATTCTTTTTCGCCATCACTCTTACTATACTATCGCTAAACTAGATCGCTGATCCGTCTCAATGCTACGCTATCATCGCTCTGCTACAGCAGCACGCTGTCCAAAGATCCCACACTCCTCCTCCTTCTCTCCACTGACTTATGACCTCTCCTGTGGTGCAATACTGCATCCTACTGGTGGTGATTTATCATTACAGGTACATTTGCACTATATATCAGTGTTGTGGGTCATTAACAAGGTGCGCCAGACATTACTGCAGCCTCCCGTGTAATAACACAAAAAAGTCGTCTAAGTCGTCTTGGGCAGTGAGCGTCACTATACAATAGAACGACTTTTGTCGTCATGGGCAGTGAATGAGTTAAACATCAGAAGAAAATACAGAACCAACATTCTCACTGGTGCACACTGGAGTAGTCTTGCAGTTTTTCCGATGTGGTTTTACTGCAAATGGCAAATAAATTAATCTGAATCCGAAACATTCCCATGCGAATAACAGACGTCTCCTGGAGCCATCTGCTGCTTTGGTTATGGCAGATACGCATGAACCATCACTTTTCCGCACGTTCATAGCTCCAACTCCACTTCACACTCATTGCAGATTCACATTGGGCCCTTTTACTTTCTGCTGCACTTTCAAAATGCAACAACTGCAGTTTAGTTACCTAATCATTTAATACTAGTGGCCTATGCTATTTAATATGCAGCCCCTCCTTTATCCTTCAGATAAACTAATTTAAATACATTCATTTAACAATAGTGACCTGCAAGTAATAAGATTAATGCTGTAAAGATGGCGCCGTGGCAAGAGCTCTGGTGTGTGCCGTCTGGAGCACACTGGGGTAGTCTTGCAATTTTTCCAACGTGGTTTTACTGCAAGTGGCAAAACATGAATCTGAATTAATGCACATTGCTCCTCTTATATCCCTCAAATAATAAAGATTAATGCCATTTGATATGCATTGTCCCTCCTTTATCACTCAAATACAAATAAATGCATTGATCTCTGAGTGGGATCAATATATATATATATCCTATCTTCCCTCAAAACACGAGCCACAATGAAAGACTCGGGTGTGCACCAGTCACAGGGTAGTAGAAGCTGCAAGTTAGCTCGAACACATGTAAAAACAGAGCCAGCAGACCAAGCACGGGGCGAAAACTGACGCCTGCAGCCCAGTGCGCAGGGCAAAAACCAACCGCCTGCAGCCCAGACTCAGAGAACAAACCGTCCGCAGGTCAGCACACTCACCACCACACATGCCAGAAGACGTGGGCAAAGCAACGGGACAACGCGGCACCGCCAATCGGAGGCAGGGACACGCACGGCACCGCCAGACCGTCTGCACGCAGCAGCAGACCACGAGGAGACGAGCAGCATAGAGCCCGCGGAGGGGCCCCGCGGAGCAGCCCGCAGAAAGAGCCCGCAGAGGAGGAGAGCAGTGGAGACACGCAAACCACAGCAGGTGCAGGGACGCGGAGGAGGAGCAGACCACCAACAGCCAGACTGAGGACAGCCAGACTGAGGACAGCCAGACTGAGGACAGCCAGACTGAGGACAGCCAGACTGAGAACAGCCAGACTGAGGACAGCCAGACTGAGGACAGCCAGACTGAGGACAGCCAGACTGAGAACAGCCAGACTGAGGACAGCCAGACTGAGGACAGCCAGACTGAGGACAGCCAGACTGAGGACAGCCAGACTGAGGACAGCCAGACTGAGGACAGCCAGACTGAGGACAGCCAGACTGAGGACAGCCAGACTGAGGACAGCCAGACTGAGGACAGCCAGACTGAGGACAGCCAGACTGAGGACAGCCAGACTGAGGACAGCCAGACTGAGGACAGCCAGACTAAGGACAGCCAGACTGAGCCAACAGCCAGACTGAGGACAGCCAGACTGAGGACAGCCAGACTGAGGACAGCCAGACTGAGGACAGCCAGACTGAGAACAGCCAGACTGAGGACAGCCAGACTGAGGACAGCCAGACTGAGGACAGCCAGACTGAGGACAGCCAGACTGAGGACAGCCAGACTGAGAACAGCCAGACTGAGGACAGCCAGACTGAGGACAGCCAGACTGAGGACAGCCAGACTGAGGACAGCCAGACTGAGGACAGCCAGACTGAGGACAGCCAGACTGAGAACAGCCAGACTGAGGACAGCCAGACTGAGGACAGCCAGACTGAGGACAGCCAGACTGAGGACAGCCAGACTGAGGACAGCCAGACTGAGGACAGCCAGACTGAGGACAGCCAGACTGAGGACAGCCAGACTGAGGACAGCCAGACTGAGGACAGCCAGACTGAGGACAGCCAGACTGAGAACAGCCAGACTGAGGACAGCCAGACTGAGGACAGCCAGACTGAGGACAGCCAGACTGAGGACAGCCAGACTGAGGACAGCCAGACTGAGGACAGCCAGACTGAGGACAGCCAGACTGAGGACAGCCAGACTGAGGACAGCCAAACTGAGACAGCCAGACTGCCAGAACAGAGAACCAGACTGAGAACAGCCAGACTGAGAACAGCCAGACTGAGGACAGCCAGACTGAGGACAGCCAGACTGAGGACAGCCAGACTGAGAACAGCCAGACTGAGAACAGCCAGACTGAGGACAGCCAGACTAAGGACAGCCAGACTGAGGACAGCCAGACTGAGAACAGCCAGACTGAGGACAGCCAGACTAAGGACAGCCAGACTGAGGACAGCCAGACTGAGGACAGCCAGACTGAGGACAGCCAGACTGAGACAGCCAGACTGAGGACAGCCAGACTGAGGACAGCCAGACTGAGACAGCCAGACTGAGGACAGCCAGACTGAGGACAGCCAGACTGAGGACAGCCAGACTGAGGACAGCAGCCAGACTGAGGACAGCCAGACTGAGGACAGCCAGACTGAGGACAGCCAGACTGACAGCCAGACAGCCAGACTGAGGACAGCCAGACTGAGACACAGGACAGCAGACTGAGGACAGCCAGACTGAGGACAGCCAGACTGAGGACAGCCAGACTGAGGACAGCCAGACTAAGGACAGCCAGACTAAGGACAGCCAGACTGAGGACAGCCAGACTGAGGACAGCCAGACTGAGGACAGCCAGACTGAGGACAGCCAGACTGAGAAGGACAGCCAGACTGAGGACAGCCAGACTGAGGACAGCCAGACTGAGGACAGCCAGACTGAGGACAGCAGACTGAGGACAGCCAGACTGAGGACAGCCAGACTGAGGACAGCCAGACTGAGGACAGCCAGACTGAGGACAGCCAGACTGAGGACAGCCAGACTGAGGACAGCCAGACTGAGGACAGCCAGACTAGACGAGACTGAGACAGCCAGACTGAGGACAGCCAGACTGAGGACAGCCAGACTGAGACAGCCAGACTGAGACAGCCAGACTGAGGACAGCCAGACTGAGGACAGCCAGACTGAGGACAGCCAGACTGAGGACAGCCAGACTGAGGACAGCCAGACTGAGGACAGCCAAACTGAGGACAGCCAGACTGAGAGACAGCCAGACTGAGAACAGCCAGACTGAGAACAGCCAGACTGAGGACAGCCAGACTGAGGACAGCCAGACTGAGGACAGCCAGACTGAGAACAGCCAGACTGAGGACAGCCAGACTAAGGACAGCCAAACTGAGGACAGCCAGACTGAGAACAGCCAGACTGAGGACAGCCAGACTGAGAACAGCCAGACTGAGGACAGCCAGACTGAGACAGCCAGACTGAGGACAGCCAGACTGAGGACAGCCAGACTGAGGCCAGACCAGACTGAGACAGCCAGACTGAGCCAGCCAGACTGAGGACAGCCAGACTGAGACAGCCAGACTGAGACAGCCAGACTGAGGACAGCCAGACTGAGACAGCCACTGAGGACAGCCAGACTGAGGACAGCCAGACTGAGGACTGAAACCACACTGAGAACAGCCAGACTGAGAACAGCAACGCGCAGACTGAGGACAGCCAGACTGAGGACAGCCAGACTGAGGACAGCCAGACTGAGGACAGCCAGACTGAGGACAGCCAGACTGAGGACAGCCAGACTGAGGACAGCCAGACTGAGACAGCCAGACTGAGGACAGCCAGACTGAGGACAGCCAGACTGAGACAGCCAGACTGAGGACAGCCAAACTGAGGACAGCCAGACTGAGGACAGCCAGACTGAGGACAGCCAAACTGAGGACAGCCAGACTGAGGACAGCCAGACTGAGGACAGCCAGACTGAGGACAGCCAGACTGAGAACAGCCAGACTGAGGACAGCCAAACTGAGAACAGCCAGACTGAGGACAGCCAGACTGAGGACAGCCAGACTGAGGACAGCCAGACTGAGAACAGCCAGACTGAGGACAGCCAGACTGAGGACAGCCAGACTGAGGACAGCCAGACTGAGGACAGCCAAACTGAGGACAGCCAGACTGAGAACAGCCAGACTGAGGACAGCCAGACTGAGGACAGCCAGACTGAGAACAGCCAGACTGAGGACAGCCAGACTGAGAACAGCCAGACTGAGGACAGCCAGACTGAGGACAGCCAGACTGAGGACAGCCAGACTGAGAACAGCCAGACTGAGAACAGCCAGACTGAGGACAGCCGGGCCACGCGCACGAGCAACACGTGAGCAGAAGCGACCCCTCCAGAACAACGCATGCATTTGCGAACAGGTGCCTTAGCGACATACACCTTGCAGACTTCAGAAGGCCGGGAAGTGGGCGTCTCCGGCTTTAACTTGCTGTCCTGGTGGTTATTGGTTGACTGGATGTGGGCGTTGCTGGTATGATGAGCCGAGGATGAGAGCAGGCTTGTAGAGCTGGGCAGCAGCAGCCGGGTCTACCACAGTGAACTTGCGCAAAAGCTCCATAAGTCATCTCAGAGACTTAACAAAACCATTGAAATCACCAACACAGGTCAGAGAATCAACAGTTAAAACACATGAAGAATACAGTATAAAGCACACACAGAAGAAAATGTCCATACATGTTGTAGAATGCTAAAGTGTCCTGATCATCACCAATCCTTTCTGTTGGACACTAACTGTCCAACAAGACCCTCCTGCATCCACAAGGAACAACTCTTAAAAAACCCAGTGGGAAAAAGTGAGAAACCTTGGGGAGAACTAGGGAAACCCACAGGGAGGGAGACCCATATGAGAAAGGGATCCGCTCCTCCGGACGGACAGGCTAATGATCCAGGACCTAAGCTAGCTACAGGACGTGGACCAGTGGACGCTGAACGTGGACAGGTCCGGTGCAGGACCAAAGCACTCCCAGGCGGGTCGGGCGGGGCAGTCCGCAGGTGTAGATGGAAGAGGCCAGGCTCAGAGATCCCGTCATCGTACCATGAAACAGACAATGGGACAACGGGTGAATAGCAATGAACAAACTACAGTCAGAATCCTAATAATGCTAAACAGATAAAGTAGGAAGGAGGAGAGGATAGTGCTCAATTTACCATGTTATGTTTACATATAGATATGCTGTTATAAAAATACCTTTTCTTTTACTTTTAGTTTCCAGGTTGTTGAAAAGGCTCTTCCTGTCCATGACTCTTCTCTGCCTCGTCAGAATTGTGATGAACCACAACGGCCACTGGAGCTGGTGAGAGACTGCGTTTTCTATCTCCAGATGAATATCGTAGGTTTGGAGAATAATTAATTACATTATCATTTTAATTACGCTGCTTTTTCCAAAGGAATACTACAAGTGTCACTGAGAAACATTTCAGACAATAATGTAGAGCCAGGAAATGTTGCTTTAAAAAAATATAAAAAAACATTTTATTTTATATAAAAGATCAATATTTGATCCAATTGATTGATCTGAAATGTTTCCCCCATGACTTTGAGGCTATCCCCCCATTACTAACAGAAAAATCCATCCATCCATTTTCTACCCTTTAATCCATTTCTGGGTCAGGGGGGTGGCAGTCAGAGATGCCACCCAAGTCTCATAGCACCAGCCCCTCACTGACCCTCTGCAGGTGGTGAGTCCACAGGAGGACGGCTGCTCTCTGACTGTGAGCATAGCCTTGATCTTTCGCGAGTGTGTATACGCATGTGGTTGTATATATAATTATAAATGTGGTTTTGGGGGGGTCTGTGGGGAGGAGGGTTTAGGGCTGGGCATGTTGGATTGTTTTTAACTAAACTGTAAAGCACTGTTGTGTTGTGTTACATTTTTTGTATGAAAAACGCTTTATAAATAAAATTTGATTGATTGATTGAACTAAATAAATGCATGTGCCTTAAGACCATTACTTTGGTGAAAGATTTCCCTGACTCATAGATTAGGAAAAAAGAAGAAGTAATCTACGATTACCTTAACGGATCCTGAATCGCTTGGTCTCCACAAACTTGTAATTTGAAAAACTAATTTTATATTCAATTTAAATTTCATGCAGAGGGTAGCAATATGAAGGGCTTGTGTGTAACAATATCTATCTTCTCTAGGTCGAGGGAGCATGGGGAGGAGCAGACCTGCTCCGTGCAATTCTCCAACAAGTCAAGGCCAAAACACACCAACATAGTTTTCCTCAAGACGCACAAAACCGCAAGTTCCACGATGCAGAACATACTTTTCCGGTTTGCTGAGCGTCACAACCTCACCGTGGCTTTACCAAAGAATGGTGACTCCCAGTTTGCGTATCCAAACTTTTTTAATGTCAAATCAGTTCAACTGGAGACAACACCCCCCAACATCATCACAAACCACATGCGGTTCAACAAGGAAGAGCTGGACAAGCTGATGCCTCCGGACACAGTGTACATCACCACCATGAGAGAGACAAGTGCCATGTTTGAATCCTTGTTCGTCTACTGCTATGTATCCTCTGCCAGCATTCGCAGGGTTCCTAATGAGTCGATCGAAGCTTTCTTGGACGATCCATTCAAATATTATCGGCCTTTGGAAGCGCATTCTATGTATGTACGAAACTGCGTGACCTATGACCTGGGCGGGAACAAGGATAGCACCGAAGTGGACTACGCGCAACAATTAGCAGCCAAAGTAGAGAAAACATTTTCACTGGTCATGATTTCCGATTACTTTGATGAATCGCTCATCTTGCTGCGTCACCTCCTCAACTGGGACTTGGAGGATATTGTTTACTTCAAAGCCAACATGAGATCGGAGAAAGCAAAGAAGACCATCACACCAGAGCTGTCAGACAAAATCAGGGCCTGGAATTACATCGATTCTTATCTTTTCGACCACTTCAACGCTTCCTTATGGCGTCAGCTCAAGGCCATAGGGCTGGACTGCGTTGCCAGAGAAGTGCAGTTGTTACGACAAGCTCAGGAAAAACTCTCAATGACCTGTTTTGGGGAGAAGACATCGAGACTTAACTCTGCCGCTAAGATCAAAAACAGGGCTTTGAAGCCATGGCAGCCAGGAAATGTGGAAATAGTTGGTTATGAACTTTCTCCAGATCTGAGCGCAGAGAACCAGACACTTTGTACTAAGCTCACCATGCCAGAACTGCAGTACACAGATGCACTACGACAAGTCCAGATTCAAAGATACAAAAAGGCAAAGGAGAGACAAACCAACAATTGAGAATTTAGTTGACATTTACCAGGTTTTCAGCGCACATGCATTTAAAATCCCATTTCCAATTCTGAAGGCAATGGCCGAGTTGGGAGTCATAATGTTGACACTTTGCTGCTATGGGGCTGGACGTTTGCACAATTATTTTTCTAAAAGATGGTTGTTCGGGTTGTTCTTTTATATAACTGTGGTCCTCCATGGTTCTTTTATATAACTGTGGTCCTCCATGGTTCTTTCATATAACTGTGGTCCTCTGTGGTTCTTTTATATAACTGTGGTCCTCCATGGTTCTTTTATATAACTGTGGTCCTCCATGGTTCTTTTATATAACTGTGGTCCTCCATGGTTCTTTCATATAACTGTGGTCCTCTGTGGTTCTTTTATATAACTGTGGTCCTCCATGGTTCTTTTATATAACTGTGGTCCTCTGTGGTTCTTTTATATAACTGTGGTCCTCTGTGGTTCTTTTATATAACTGTGGTCCTCCATGGTTCTTTTATATAACTGTGGTCCTCCATGGTTCTTTTATATAACTGTGGTCCTCTGTGGTTCTTTTATATAACTGTGGTCCTCCATGGTTCTTTTATATAACTGTGGTCCTCCATGGTTCTTTTATATAACTGTGGTCCTCTGGTTCTTTTATATAACTGTGGTCCTCCATGGTTCTTTTATATAACTGTGGTCCTCTGTGGTTCTTTTATATAACTGTGGTCCTCCATGGTTCTTTCATATAACTGTGGTCCTCTGGTTCTTTTATATAACTGTGGTCCTCCATGGTTCTTTTATATAGCTGTGGTCCTCCATGGTTCTTTTATATAACTGTGGTCCTCTGGTTCTTTTATATAACTGTGGTCCTCCATGGTTCTTTTATATAACTGTGGTCCTCTGTGGTTCTTTTATATAACTGTGGTCCTCCATGGTTCTTTTATATAACTGTGGTCCTCCATGGTTCTTTTATATAACTGTGGTCCTCCATGGTTCTTTCATATAACTGTGGTCCTCTGTGGTTCTTTTATATAACTGTGGTCCTCCATGGTTCTTTTATATAACTGTGGTCCTCCATGGTTCTTTTATATAACTGTGGTCCTCCATGGTTCTTTCATATAACTGTGGTCCTCTGTGGTTCTTTTATATAACTGTGGTCCTCCATGGTTCTTTTATATAACTGTGGTCCTCTGTGGTTCTTTTATATAACTGTGGTCCTCTGTGGTTCTTTTATATAACTGTGGTCCTCTGTGGTTCTTTTATATAACTGTGGTCCTCTGTGGTTCTTTTATATAACTGTGGTCCTCTGTGGTTGTTTTATATAACTGTGGTCCTTGTTATAGAAGTTTCTATCCAAAGCAAGGAAGAAGCTCAAAGGTCTTTGTCTTAATTCAGGAGCGTAAGTTTATTGTACACACGTGCGGAGAGCTAACATATACAAAAGGCAGCATACACCAGCTCTGGCGCGCAGAGCTCAGGTTCCTGTTTACATAGACAACACATAAAGACAGTCACGCCCACAACAGATGGGAGGGGGCCACCAGTACAGGAGGCGCATAGGGAGCGTAGGCGCCATGCCCGTGGTGAGGCAATCAGACAGTGGCATGGAGGTGCAAACAGACAGACAATGGTCATGCAGGATGTAGAGAGGCAGGCATACAGATGCAAGATGCGAAAGGGACAGGGGTGAGACAGTGATTTGCGTCATTGTCTGGCGGTGCGGGAAGGACTGGCTCCTTCCTGCAGGTTAGCTGGATAGAGCAGCAGGGGGGAGTGAGTTGGCGTCCCCGAGTCACAGGCAGATTGCCATCACACTCCTCTCCCGTGATAATGTAGAAACTCCAGTTTTACAGAGATCACATTCAGGTGGGTGAGTATTGACCTTGACCCCTGAGCAAAACAAGAGTTGTTGATGGGCAGGCTAGGCTGCCGTCACCCAAGCCTCTTGTATTACGAGGGTGTGGTCAAAGCTCTTCACTGTGATACCCTCCCCCTAAACTGTAGGCGAAACAAGTGGAAAAATAAAAACAAGGTAAACAAGAAAGAAAAACGTTAGACAAAGTCATCGTCCGAATCGCTGATATAATCAGGATCGGAGTTCAGTGGGACAGCGGCCAGGTCCGCTTCGGGGTCTTTGTATTGAATGGACACAAAGTGAGTGGATACCATTTTACCAACGGCCCGAAACACCAAAGGTAATACACATGAAAATAAAATCATAACAGTCAATAGGGCTAAACCAAGATTAATGAGCACACTCCGCCAGGAGGACAGGAGCCAGTCCAGACCGTGAGGAGTGTCCGTGACATTGTCCGCTTGCATGGCGTCCCGGAGTCTAGTCAGATTGGCTATGCCCTGTTGGATAAGACCTCCGTCCTCATCATTAGCCGGAATATATGTACAGCAGGACGACCCAATGATCGTGCATACGCCTCCCACAGACGCGGTCAGGTGGTCCAGGACCAACCGGTCCTGAAGAACAACGGCACGTAGGTCGTGAAGTTCAACCCTCTGTGATTCAAGTATGGCCACTGTGGTATTGACAAAACCTGGAACCTATAGCTCAGGGTCTCCGTCCTTAGCATTAGTTTACCTACACCCAGGCTGGGGAATAATGCTAACATTATTTTCTGGCCTGTGGTCCATAATTTGTGGTCATCGGGTACATTAGTGCCCCACAGGGGGTCGTCTCGGGATTCGGAGGCAGGGGAGTTGGGCAAAGGGGGTCGCCTCGGGAACGCTGGGATTCTCTGGGTGTTGTTGTTGGCCTGCTTCACCGACGGTGGTCGCACGCCGGCCGACCTCTTCAGCGTAGGGAGCCGCGGATGGGCCTGGTCCGTCCCCACCCTCGGTGTCCTCGTCTATGGCCCTCAGTGGCAGCACCGCACGACAGTGGTAACGGCAGTGTCCGTCACCAGGAGGACGAGGAATGGGCCTAGCCAGCGCTTGGACCGCCAATGTTGTCGTCTCGTTTCCTTCACCAGGACTCAGTCGCCTGGCTTGATCTTGTGCGGAGCCGCCTGCGCAGCCTGTGGCAGGGCGCTCCTGACCTGGGCAGAAATAGAGGGCAAAAGTGCATTAATTTCCTTACAATAGGACAGCATGTCGTCATCACACAAAGGGGTGCTTGGCAGATCTCTGTTCGGGGGTCCCGCGCCCAAGTTGGGTGGTCTGGCAAAGAGGATTTCGAATGGGCTTAGGTTTGACCTTGACCTGACTCTCATGCGCATGTACATGAGGACTAGCGGCAGAGCTTTGATCCAAGACAGGTCTGTCTGTTCGCAGATTTTAACAAGTTTGTTTTTCAGAGTGCCATTCTCTCGCTCGCACGCGCCTCCGCTCCAGGGGGCGTAACTGCAGTGTTTACGTATATCAATGCCCAGAAATTCACCTACTTCCTCAATGACTTTTGCTACAAAGTGACTGCCATTGTCACTAGAGATTTTCTCTCGGGGCACCCCATCGTGGACTTCAGTCCATTTGGGCCAGAGATCCACCAGACAGTATTTCTTACCTTGGCATGGTGTGAGTTCAACAAAGTCCCTTTGGACATGTTGAAATGGGCGCAGGGGCGGAGGATGAGCAGCCTGTTGGATAATTTGGGACTTACCTGGGTTGTGCGCGAGGCAGATAGCGCATGTTTGGCAGAATCTCTGTGCAAATGCCGTAAACCCCTTCGTATACCAATTTTGTGTAATTAAATTACACATCCCTCCTTCTGAGGCATGGTCTCGACCATGTGCTAAAATCGCAAAATGTCTGAAGAAATGCCGTGGTAAGCACGGTTTTAGGTCTGGTCCCAGCCACACACACCATGCCGTCGTTGAGCCCCATTTCCCTCCCACGGCACAGTCTCTGCTGGAGTAGCCAGTGCCTGCATTGCTGACAGAGAGGAGAAAATATCAACGTCTTGAGTGAGGTAGTGTGTGTGTGTGTGTGTAGAGGTGCGTATGCCGCTGCCTTGTCCGCGCGCCGATTCCCTGCAGAGATGGGATCAGTGGCATTAGTGTGGGCCTGGCATTTGCATACAGCGATCTCTAAGGGCAACATTACAGCTTTCAGCAGACGTTCAACCTGTGTGGAATTAAGAATTGGTTTACCATCAGATTTCATGAAATTGCGGTGTTTCCACAGTGCCCCCCAGTCGTGCACCACAGAGAAACCATAACGCGTATCACAGAATATGTTAACAGTTTTGCCCGCTGCCAGCTCACAAGCCCTGGTGAGCGCGACCAGTTCAGCGGTTTGTGCTGAGTGGTAGTGGGGCAAACTACCAGAGTCTATAGTATCAAAATCAGAACACACAGCATAGCCGACTCGGTTCTTCCCAGTGTTGTCACGTGACGCGGATCCTTCTGTATAAAAAATCAAGTCAGGATTAGTCAGAGGCACCTCTTTCAGGTCTGGCCTGGGAGTGCATCTCTGTTCTATTGTGGCGATACAGCAGTGTGCCTCCCCTTCCTCTGGCGTGGGCAGCAGCGAGGAGGAGTTCAGCTGTGTGCATCTTTTCACCGTGACATTGGGGAGTTCAAGGAGCACCGTGTTGTATTTCAGCCAGCGAGCCGCAGAAAGGCGAGAGGCCCTCTGCTCTAACAGGATCAGGGAAACAGCATGGGGCACAAGCAAAGTTAGTTCAGTGTATCCCACAAGGTCACGTGATGCTAGGTCCGCTTTCTCAGCGGCAGCCACAGCCCGCAGGCAGCGAGGCAACCCTGCTGCCACGGGATCGAGTTTTGCTGAGAAGTAAGCAGTGGGTCTCAGTGGCCCTCCGTGAGACTGCAAAAGTACCGACACCATGCACCCACATCGCTCATCCACAGTCTGAGTGAATGGCCGTTGGGTCAGGGAGACCTAGTGTGTGTGTGTAGATTTACTGTTCCGTTCATCTCCAGCTGCTTTTCTCCCGGATCGTCCTCAATTCATATTGTGGGCTTTGGTGCCAAAGTAGAAGCTCATTTCCTCATGATCCATACTACTGTCATCCCTGAAGCAGGGGTAGTTTATCTCTCATCTGAAAAAGAAAT